GTGCAAACCCTAATTTAGGGTCTTGGACCCTATTTAAAAGTCTTAACTCATTTCCAACCCTCCTTATCTTAAGCATCCAACTCCTTTAACCCTAAACTCGAAACCCTAACCCCCATTTGGAAAGATTTTGAGCATTGGAGTGATTTTGGTAGATTTTTGGTGCCTTTAGAAGAAGAATAACTCTTTGGAGAAGTGTTGGTTGTCTTGGATCATAGAGATCCAGGCTTTATTAATCTTGATCTAGCTCCGGGAGGTATAAAGCTTTCATCTTTATGGCTTTCTCATGTAGGACTAGCTTAGGGTTGTAAGTTATCACGTTTTTGTCCCATGATTGTGGTTCTTGTGAGTAGAAGGTACTCCACAACCTTTGAGACTCATATTTGGTCCTTGTTGATGTTATTAAGTTATAAAGTTTGAATCTTGATGATTTATGTGATAGATCTAGCTAGTCTTGGGTGTTATGAGCTTTTGGTTACTTTAGTGAATAAACATCACATTGATTCTGATCTAAAGGTTTGAGACTTGGACTTAATGGATTAAGTTGGAAAAGATGTACTTTTGGTCCCTTTCATGACTTAAAGACTACATCTTGGTGGTTTGGACTATTCTAATGCATAAAGTTGGAAAACTTATCTATTATGGAGTTATTAGGAACCATGAAACTGTGATCTTGTTCCTTTTATCCCTTCCATGCAAGAATTATGATTTCTTAATGGATTAATAAGTTAGGGTTTTGGCTTTTGGACCTTTTCTAGACATGGAAAGTCATAAAGGTGGGAACTTTATGATTTAGAATGATGTTATGGGACTAGATATGAGTCTTGGATGAAAGGACTTAATAAAATAAGCACTTAATGGAAAAGTGCCATTTGAGTGAGTACGTTGAGCGTACCCTTGAGTACAGTGCGCGTACTCGTATGGGGTCCGTTTCTGGATGGTGAGTACGCCATGCGTACGTGCTGAGTATGTTGGGCGTACTCAGCCTGAAGTTTGACTTCTTGACTTGTGGAATTTGACTTTCGTTGACTTTTTGACCAAGTTTGACCTTGGGTTGAACTTGAGGATTTTGGGCTATTAATTAAGATTTTTTTTTATTCTGGTGTTAGTGGATTCGTCGGTGCAAGTAGTGCAGAAAAGGGATCATATCGTAGTGTTTCGAAGTTCTTCGATTCAGGTGAGTCTTCTCCTTATGCTTGTGAGTCGATGGCACCAATTTCGGCTCACTAAATTGTGTATGTAGGATGCTAGCTGTCTTTGTGACTCTTGCATGTTTAGTTGAGCCTGTGTGGTAGTATATATGTGCAGAACAGTTGGGTCTTATTTGTTGTTACTATGATATGTGTTACTGTGTACTGAGACTTCAGGTAGTCTCCAGGGTTGTTGATAACCCATCGGGCATGCTGTTTGCCGACTGAGACTTCGGGTAGTTTCCACGGTTGTTGATAACCCACAAGGCGTGTTGTTTGCTCACAGAGACTTCGGATAGTCTCTAGGGTTGCACATAACCCATAGTTGTTTATTTATGTAGTGTTGCATGTGGTATTTTAGAGAACTCACTAAGCTTTGTGCTTACGATTTGTGGTTTAAATGTTTTCAGGTTTTCTTATATTAAAGGAGGGGCACGGTTCTACTTCATCGCATCAATGAGAGACTTGTGCACATGATAACCTTTGACGATACTCTGATAAATGTTTTAAGATTAAATGGTCCTATTTAAGATCTGTAGTTGTGATTGGAATAAACACTTAAATTTTGAATTGAAAACTTTGGGTAGAAGTTTGGGACGTTACATTTCGTTTTCCCAATGTCCATAAGTCCCATCGCGCAGAAGGTTTTCTCCTACAAAGTATTTCCCAGGGTGATCGGAACTGGTGAGGAAGTAGGGTGAAGTTATGTCGATTGTGGATTTTTCTCCTTTGGATGACTCTGTGTTCGTCAGCCATTGTGAACTAGGACTAGGATTGATTCCCCTGTTTGATTGTATTTGCTCTGATACCATAATAATTTTAGGCTAAGAAAAGTTTATGATCTTCTTATTGACTAAAACGACATTATATCAAGGCATTTATATGAATATATCTTAATAAGATAAGGACTCTAAAAGATACATACTCAAGTCCTTGAGAAACAATAAAATGAGAGAAATAAGGAAACTAAATAACAGCTAATAATAATAATCTCAAGACCATACAGACGAGTCTAAAATCAAACATGATTTACAACAAGGATATCCGCGTTCACCATTTTTTCAACATTGAAATTGAAGAACATCACATGGCCTTGAGGAGGCTCTTAAGAAAAAAATGTATTTGGGGTCAAAATCGACTCTAGCGATTTGGAGGTGTCTCACTTATGTTATGCCAACACTAACCTGCTTCTTTGTGACCGGTCTCTCGATAATGCTAGAGTTATGGTTCATATAAGTATGTGCTCTTTTAGCATCCAAGTTGAAAATCAATTTACAAAAAAGTAAGTTGATCGGTGTGAGTGTCAACTTTGAAGAATGGGAAGAATATGTGGGGTTCTTAGGTTGTTCGAGGATACAACTTCCTTTTATGTTTTGTGGATTACCATATGGGTAATATGTGAATCAGTTAGAAGGTTGGAAGGTGGTCAATGCATTTACCATTAACATTTCCAATTGCAAGCTAAGACTTTTCATTAGGAGGGATGCTTACTTTATTGAAGTTGGTTTTTAGAAGCTTAGAAATTAAGATTATCCCCATGTTTAAGGCACCACACACGCTCTGATAATTACGGGAATCCTTGAGGAGCAGGTTTTTTTAGATGGTGACTTGGGCAAGAATAATTTAGTGGGGCTCAATTGGAAGAAAATAAAGTCTAGTAAAAAAGAGAGAGGTCTCGGGATCGGTAGCCTATCTTCTTTCAACCGTGCGTTACTCTTGAAGTGGTGACTTATTCAAGATGATAAGGTTTTATAGGTCTGTGTTATTAAAGTTTATAATGGTGAAGATGCTAATTTTAACCATGGTTTGAGTGGTGTTCCCAATAATGGCTCTTGGACTAATATATATTGTCCGTGCTTTGGAACAACTTCCTAGCAGAGGTTTGGATTTGTGTGATAACCACTTTTATACCATGATTGTGGGATGGATCTTGTGTGCGGATAACACCAACTTCAATGCGGTTCAAGGACTATGATTCAACCATTTTCATAACGTTTTGTGTGTTCCGAAATTTCCGAAATAATAGGTGCTTAGGTTGGTGGGTGTGGGCAACATGTTAAGACATGTTATCATATCTAAAATTTGCCAACTCATATGCCATGTCATCTTTAACACCATTTGATTTATATAGGAAATGGTGTGGAAATGTTATAACATGTTATAACATGTTAAGAGATACAAAGAAAGTTAGAGAGAGAGTAAGATAATAGCTTTTGATTGGTTGATTCTCACGTTACTTCCCATGACCATGGTAACATTTCTTAACATAACATCAAATAACATGAGAGGGGGGCGGTGTTCCGGTGTTATGGCGCCGTTATGGGAGCTGTCAAATCAGCATAATGCCTTATGGCGTTGCCATACCGAGTAGACTTAGGAACGGTCGAGACAAAGAAGGCCGAGATTTTTAATAAAAGTGTCTCCTATACATATTTTTGGATCTTTAGGAGCAAAAGATGTAAATTGAATTGAGTAGAGTGGCTTCAAAATCCGAGCCTTTATATTTGTTCGTTGGAAAAATGTATTTTTTCTAACGTCTCGTTAGTTTTTTTGAGTGTGAGGTGTGGGCAACGCCGACGTTCGTTTTTCTGACGTGCCATTCTGAAATCGCCGTGGCCACGACAAAAAAACCGCCCCCTATTTCATTTTCATCTGTTGTCTTCGACTTTGTTGTCTTCCGTTGCCTCCATAACGATGTGTGACGCCGGTGAAACGGTCAAAAATATATGACCATTATGGAACGGTCGAGAGGTAAAAAAAAATAACTTTTTTTATTTTACATATAAGACTAGTGCGTGTGGGCAAATAGTTATCACACCCAAATGGTGTTACCTCACATGCCATGTCAAAATGGTGTTACAACACCAAATGGATAAAATGAGCAACTAGTTATAACACCCTCAACTTTCCATGTCATCATTTTTTTTTCAATTTATTTATTTTTGATTTTTTTTTCAATTTAATTTTTTAATCACGTTGAATTATTTTTAAAAAAAAATGAAACATGCAATTTAATTAAATCCCAGATTAACCATCACATTTAAAAACTTAAAATAACATTACACACTAACAAAACATTGAACGCAAAGAAAAAATTAATAAATAAAAATATTGTCCTAAAAACTTAAAAACGATCAACTAGTCATCCAAATATTTCTTTTCAATGATCTCCTTCATCTTCCGGAACATTTACACTTCTCGTGGCCCCATATTTTCTTCTTTTCTTTGGAGAATCACTACAACAAATATAGTCATTATCGGTGACACCAATAAAGGCGAAAGAACCTTTAGCGGCGACAAATTGATAAGTCGCCATTAAAGGTGATGTCATCGCTATTGGTGTTGCCGGTAATTCTAACCGACTCGAATCCACGTTTTCACCTTTTGGTAAATACCAATCGATGGTATCTCTAATCTAATGACTGAGGTTGTCGTGGAACACGCAAAACTAATACTGACGACACAAAGTCGCCGCTAAAGACCTAAATTTGTCGTCGCTAAAGGTCGAAAAAAGACGCGATAATGTTTCCCCCCAGAATTGTCGCTGTTGTTGATGTTTGTCACCACTAATGTTTTAACTGTCGCCGGTAAAGGTGTCCGTCGATAACAAAAAAAAAACGATGCAGACTCTTCACTTTCTGCTTCTTTCGTTACACCCGCTCTTGTTTTTTTTCTTCCCATTTTCTATCCATCAACGTTACATTCAGCCACCAAGTACATTCCAATGAAGGGGAACTCGCCATTGTGAGATTACCGACGAAAGGGAACATTAATTTTCGGCAAAAACCGGTGCATCTCCGGCGACGGTAGGCTTTAACTTCTGATTTCTCTTTCTTTTTCTCTTGTAACATCGATTTCCAACTCTACCTTGTGATTCATAGCAAAATAATTGTCAATTTCAGTTTTTTTTGTCTCTTTGTCTTGGTCACGGTCGGGTACTGTCACCACCGAGGACCACCACCACCACTACACCATCTCTTAAATTTCCGCCACCACATATGCTATTTACATTGAATTTCGAGATTTTATTTTAAAATATGTGTGTTTGTATATATTATGTGGAAATAGGCATATGTGTGTATAAATGGTGTGTTTTTTTTCATCATCAAGTGGTTTTTTTGATGTATTCGGTGTATGTATGTGAAAATATGTGTATTTGGTGTATCTATATGCGTATAATATGTATATGAAAGCATGTGTATTTTGTGTATGTATGATGCTATTATGTATGTATGTGAAAGTATGTATATTAGATATAAGTAGGATGTGTAATTGTGTATTTGGTATATGTTATGTGCAATTGGACATATATGTGTATATTTGGTATATTATCTACGTGTATTTTGTATATGTACGAGGTTTTTAGGCCCGCACGTTGCGGCGGGAGTTTATGCAATAATTTTTATTGAGATGGGAAGAAATCATTAAGGGTCATTTTAGTGCATTTTGCAAATTTAATGGAAATACATTGCTACTAATGGAAAATCAATGACAAATATAAATTACATATTTACATATATACAAATACACCCATATACATACTGTCACCTCTGCACAACTTATTTAAATATATGTATATTTTTTAGAATAGATATATTAACATATCAATGACTTATTTAAATATATGTATATTTTTTAGAATAGATATATTAACAGATCAATGAAAGTCAGTTGTTATTTCTTGTATTTAACCCTAGTTTTAGAAATATTAAATATAGTATCATTGGTAAAAGTATTACTTTCTCAACTTGTGCTCCATAAGTAGGCTGCAAAAAACAAATAATAATGTTAAATTCTTCATGAACAAATTACATATTGTAACACAACAGCAGACAAAGAGCCTTAGTTGTGGCAAAAAAAAAAAAAAGAATTCACACATGATTTTTTATCACAATTTTCATTTTTTTATTTTTATTTTTTTTGCTTTAATTTAGAAAATTGTTTCGAATCGTAAAGCAAACTAAACCGTAAGATTACCCAATGGTTAATTCAAAAAAGGAATTATTGGTGAAATATCAAAATGCATAATTTAAAAATATTTAAAACTTTTAGAGTTTGATCGGAAAAAAGAGCTAATATTAAACCGCAAAAAGTGCCCAAAATCAACATTTTCTTTTTATTTTTTTATTTTTTGTAATTTATCCTATAGTTATCTTTGCAGACAATAAATAACTCAAGAACAATCAAGATCCAAGTTGCATGCTTTCTATAAATGAAAATAGAGATGGATAAATCTTCACCTTAATTACTTCAACATTGGTGTGAATCATGTCTTCAACAGCCCTCTCTATTTTATGGCCCCTAGTAACGATCATATCTCACCTTCATATAATTCCGTAACCAAAGGAACAACATTATCATCTTCATAAGTGTCTTTTAAGCCCCCAATATTCTGATGTGGTGGCATATGTTTCATAGTCTCAACTTACTTCCTTACATCTTCAATATGCGCCCTTGTTCTAAGCTTCTTTTTTGAAATTGATTTACAGGCAATACTTTACAGGTAGATTTATCGGTACACGTATATGTAATTCCAAACTCTGCTCCACCCATCTCCTTACCAAGTACATACTGTTTGAGTTATAGATATTGAATGTCAAAATCATTAAAATGATAAAATCACATATTTTAAGGCCTACAACATAAGTATGCTCTAAAAAATTATCTTACTCGATGCATGTCCCCTAGTTAATCATTAACCCAAACTCTTTTCTGGAAGACTATAATAGTCAAGTTTTACAAAAAAAAGTAATAATAATAATGAACTTATAGCTGTGGTCTTCCTCTAGCATACAATTCCAACATGCATTAATAATGCCACATAAGAAATGTGGAAAACTTTAATCCAAATAAATTATTAATAATAAAATAGAAACATACATTAAAGGAATAGTTGTTCTGTTGAGCAGCGTATTATTCCATAAGATAAGCTTGCTTTTAGTGACATTTCCCAAATTAAAATCATGCTCTAACAACTATAATAAACGATTCAAAATAAAATTAAAGCAGTAATAAAAGTTCAGATGAGTACAATCGGGTATAATTTGAGGGAAAAAATTACCATTGAAGAGTGTTAGAAATACACAAATGTTTTGGCTAAAAAGATATAAATTATTGAAAATTCGGGAGACTGGGTCGCCTTTAAATTCACCAAGAAACATCATGCAGATCATAACTCTTAAGTATAGTAGTAAACCAGTCATAGTTGTCTTGAAATCTTCAACATCCACACTCAAGACTTAAAACATGAGAGAGATGTTAAGATGATGTTACCTCAGAAGGGGTTGGCCATGAATGATGTTGATCATAATGAATACATTTGTAGGGATCATTATAAAAAAATTGGATGGTTGGCCAAAAAAAAGAAAGAAAATAACATATTATCATAAAACTACAACAACAGGTCTTTTGTCTTAAGCTAATCAAGATAGGCTAAAAATGATAATTGGTCTTTTGTCTTAAGCTAATTAAGATAGGCTAAAAATGATAATTTCTTTGGGAGATGTTTAAGTCTTGTATTATCAGATTTTCCCCTGATCTTTATATAAAAATTGTTATCAAATTTATTTTTAAGATGTCGTTTTCATCATAGATCACCTGGATGTCTACTTGATACTTCCTTGCATGAACCACTCAACATAACTAATCTGTGAATAAAAAACAACAAAAAATCCACAATAAGCTATGATAAATCCACAAAAATCAACAAAATGAAATCTTTACAAACTCATGACTAAATGATCCTTTTACCCTCAAATAACAAAAAAAAAACAACCAAAAAAACCACAAATCTTTTCAGCATAAATCGTGAAATCTATGAATAAAAATAAATGGTACCTGAACTTGATCAACGTAGATCCTCTTTCCCCCAATTTCACATTACAATTTTAAGTTTTAATTTATGATTCTTCATGTACCTGTGTATGATACTTGTTAAATGAAATTAAAGCTTATGTAGAGAAAGATTAGAAAAAAGGGTCAAAAAAATGGTGCTTGAATGTGGCGAAGTTCATGATAATGGTGGTGAGTGGTAAGTTCTTGGGCCATTGGATGTCAGAATAAACGATATCGATATGAGAAATCTTGGAAATAGGCGGTTCAGGTGTTAGTTAGTTTGTAGAAAGAAAAATAAAGTGATCTATGAAAAAGGAAAGTGCACTATGAAAAGAAGAGAAGAAATAGTGGTACTGGTAGCCGGTGCGGAAATGTGCCCAGTTATATTTAGGGTTTATCTGAAAGAGAGGGGGAAGGGAAACAGAATATTGTGATGGCGGTGGAAATGGTGCGGTGTTTTGGTGGTACGGTGGTGGTGAGGGTTTCTAAATACAAAATAGATAGTGAGAAGCACACCAATGGTTGTGAGGGTGAGATAAGAGAGTGTAAGGTGGGGGAAAAGAAGGAATACATGAGAACGAAGAAAACCGGTTGCCTACTCGTCTCTATTCAAATCCTGTACCACCGGTTCCCTGATTAGAAGCACAGTACTCCAATATTCTTCCTTTTTCATAGATTTTAACTTTTTGAACTTTGATCTTCATGGATTCGAGATGAACTTGAAATCCATATCTACATCATCTTTTAAGTACGGAAAGTAAATTATCAACCAAAACAGCTAAAAGTCTTATTAAGCAAAAATGATGAACAAATCGATATTTTCCTTTGGCTAGGGTTTTGACATATTTGGTTTACCTGGGCTAGCAGTAAATGGAAGACCTCTTTGGCTCCTAACAGTGCAGTAGAAAGAGGAGAATGGGTGAAGGTCTGTGAGATGTTATATAGTCGGTTCTTTCCCGATCTGTTCACCTGAGAACAAAGAAACAAACTAAAAACAATTCATGTTGGGTTAGCCTTAAAATAAACAAACATAACTTGCAAACGATACAAAAAAAAACAGAAGAAAAAACATTAGAAAAGGTACTAACAACCAAAAAAATCAAATCCAAAAGTGCAAGTTGGTGAGGTGAGGCAAGGTCATGGTTCTAGAGGGCAACGATTAGGCGGTGGTGCTCTGGTTATCTAATGATGGTGGTGGAGAAGGAAGAGAGGAGACAAATGAAGAATATGCAGCGAGTTCATGGAGGGGGATTATTACGGGAGATGTGGAAGTGACAGTGGAGTCTCGCGTGTTCAAATGGAAGATTGAAAGAGAGGTGTCTTCCGTGTTGAGAAGAAGCACATGCTCTTTAGTGATTTAAAAGTCAAGATGCCTGTAGTAAAGCACAGTAATATCACTATAGAGTGATGTGCTCTTATCTACAGGAGATAACATTTTGTCAAATGTCAGTTTTTACAATGTGAATATATGTATAAATGTCTCTGTGACAATGTATGTGTATATGTGATATATGTATGTGAAAGTATGTGTATTTCATTATAGTAAAAATGTCTCAATGATGAACATAAAAAAATATGTAGTTAAAATATTGGTATAATTAGGATGTTATTGTGTATTTGATATATTTATTGAGAATGTATGTATATCTGGTGTATATGTGGTTTGTGTATGTAAAAGTATATGTATTTGATGTTATTGTGTATGTATGTTAAAGAATGTGTAAAAAAACAAATAAAGTAGGACGTTATTTTTAGCAATGAAAACATAAAGTAAACCACTATCATAGATTATTTGTTTAAGACAGATTCGGTTGTACACCATGGCTGCTCTTATGGGATTTGGACATGGGCGTGATGGAGCTGAGGATCCACCTTTCCCAAACGGTAGAGGTGCCGGTCATTATGAGTAAAATGGTAAGTCTTATTATGAATTTTTATTTACTATATTTATTTAGTTATTATAAAATATTGTTTCTAGTAATTTTTAATTATATTTGTAGCTGTGTCACACAGGAGAGTCCTAGGAAAAGCGAAAAATATTAAGCTCGAAAGAGCTCTCTTACATAATAAGGGAAAACCGATTGAAATGGATTATGATAAGGGTATGACATATGATCCCGTAGGAGAGCCGAATTTTTAATATGATCCCATATGACAACATTTTTAATTATATTTGTAGCTGTTCCACATAGGAGAGTGCGAGGAAAAGCGAAAAACATTAAGCTCGAAAGAGCGCTCTTATATAATAAGGGAAAACCGATTGACATGGATTATGTAGGGGTATGACATATGATCCCGTAGAAGAGCCGAATGACATGTTTTCACGGGAAGTTGGGAAAATAATGTGGCGAATGATCCATTTTGATAAATGGACATGGAAAAAAATTTCCCCTGTCATAAAAGAGACAATAAAACAACATTTATGGGTAAATTATTTATATAAGAATATTCTATATGCTTAATTATGATTGGTTTTTACTTGGGTAACTTTTATTTTTGTTTTTGTAGACAAAGTTTGATTTGGATAGGATGTCGCGGGATCCAGACGCTGATATGCTGTTAGAGAGTTTTGAAGCGGTTTTTATAAAAGGTTATCCAGACCGTAAAGCTGATGCAAAAGAATAGTTTTTGTAACTCGGAGGGTATGAGGATATCCCGAGAGCATTAGACAACCCCCTACATGATATGGAGGTCGATAATTGGAGGAAAGCAGTTGATTATTTTCAAACGGTTGAACACATAGTTACTTCAGAAAGGAACAAAAAAGTCTGTGAAATGCAAACAATCGTGAACCGTGGGGGGTCTAGTTCGTATAGCAGTACTTTCTATTAGAAGGTAACGTATGATAATTGCAATTATTTATTTAAAATATAATCTAACTTTTAACGATAAACTGAACCTGAAGAGAGTGGAAACGTTTCGCAAGGCTCATGTCGATAGGAATGGTGCATTTGTTAGTGTCGAGGCAAAACAACAATGCTTAAGTATTTAGTTACAATTTATCATATAATTAAGTGTTTATTTATACTTAATTGTTAATCACTTTTGGAAAACACAGAACTGGTTATTGGAAGAGCTCTTAGAACAAACGCAAGGGCCAGAAGGTGAAAGAGAGTAAACACCCGCTCAAGAAAGAGCTACTTTCGAGAGAGTATTAGGTGAACGATGTGGTCATATCAGATGCATCAGCCGAAAACCTTCTATTATCCCGCCGATTGCACAACCATCGCAGTCACCTCCACCGTCAACACATCCATCACAGGTAAAACAAGATTATTTAATTTCAATAAATGCATATTGTTTTGGTAATTTTGGTTTGTGGTGATTATTTTGTAAAAGCTTTGGAAATTGGTTTGTTGTACTAAGTGCAAAAAATAGCAATGTACTTTAGTTTTTTGTCCCTTGTTTAAAAACATCAATGTACTTTGGCATCAATAAATGCATGTCGATTTGGTTTGATAATTTAACTTATAAGTTTATATATGTTGTTATTTATTATGTTGTTGGAAAATCTTCGGACAATGCTCAATGACCCGACATGTAGGGATGAGAACGGAGGTGATGGTTCGTCAAATAAGTAGTTTGTGTTTTGTATCTTAGACTTGTCGTGACACTTTGGTACTAGCTTGTTGTAATTATAAAACTTCGGTTGTTTATTTTGGTATGAAATTAATTATATATAATGTTGTTACATTATTTGGTACCTAATCTGGTATTATGTAATTTTTTTCTGCATTTAATGTCGTTATGTATTGGGTTTTTTGCACCAAAATCGTTGATTAAAAAAAATTAATAAATGAAAAATATTATTACCGGCGACAGGATGAGTTACCGGCGACTAGAGCATTAACGGTGACAATGATTATTACCAGCGACAACAGAAATAGCGGCGACAAGTGTTATTACCGGGGACATTTTGATCAATAGCGATGGGGCGGTAGAAGCTACTTTTTACCAGCGACGTGTCGCCGATATTACCTTTACCGACGACTTTGATAGTCTTTACCGGTAACTTTTTTCGCTGCTATTGACATTTGTTGTTAGGTTCGCTTGAAGGTGTTTTGAAGCCGCTACCAACAGGTATCATCCCCCCCAGAACAACGTTTTCTTTCAGGCCTTTCAACTAATCGATACGGCCCAGGAGAGCTGTTTTTGCTAAAACTCTAGCAGTTTCTTGAAAACTAGCTTCGGATATGAAACTTTGAGTATTCATAGATGCTCTTGTTATTCCTAATAAGACGTCTTGGTAACAGATCGCTTCTTCCAAAGCTCGTCCCATTCGTTCCGCTCACAACAATCCAATTAGTTCTCCGGGCGAAAAAACATTAGACATTTCATCTTCTGAAACCAAAACTTTTGATGTTATTTGACGTACAATAATTTCTATATGCCTATTATGTATCTGCACCCCCTGGGAGCGATAAACCTTTTGGAACTTATTAACCAAAGAGATACGACTTTTCACTATAGTTAGTTCAGCACCAATCAAGAATGCCCAAGGAATTCCAAGAATTCTTGTTATAGATTTGTTCCAACCCTCAATCCTCTTTTCGAGATTCATCGATATTGAATCAATCGAACGTACTTCTAACACCTGTTCCACTTTTGGAAGACCTTGCGTTATATCACCAGATCTTGATTTTTCATATATAAATGCAACTAATGTATCGCCTTCGTAAAGGATTTCCCCATAATGTCCATGAACAGTTGCTCCTGGAGTAGCCAAATAAGGCTTACCTGATCGTATTACCACAGAGTCAACTTGAACAATTAGAACTTGACCCGATTTTAAATGCGGTCCTTTTTTTGCTATACATACATTTTCACAAAGAAACTGCCCAAGACTAACGATTGGAGATGTCTCTTCACAATAATTGTAATGGAGAAAATACCAATTCAAATGGAATGGATTCAAAATGATGTTACTACATGAATAGGGATTATAAATTTGACAATTTTCATCCAGTAAATAATATTTAAGTATTTGAAAAATCTGTTTGAAATTGTCAAGTTGCAAATAGTTAGTTACCAAGATCTGATTATGGGTTATTAAATGGGAAAATAAATCAAAATTATAAATTGGAAAACATGTTCCTAACGGGCCCAACGAATTCCTAATTGGAATTAGGGGGTTCTTTTTTATTGATTCTTTTATCACATTGGAAGATTTTACATCGTTGAATGGGCCTATTCGAAAACAATTGGATGATGACAAAATTATCAAAGATTGAGATTCCTTATTTCGATTCAACAACATGTGGATAGTTCCTTGATTTGGATTAAGGGATTCTTTAATCCTTGACTTGGAATAGGAATAAATGGAAGAAAATGGATTGACATTAGCGCGATCTGATCCATTCTCAGAGATCAATCCTGAACCCGACAGATCGTTCCTTTTTCCGGTATAAGAAATAGGTGACTTAGCTAAGTCGATTCTTAGAAAATATCTAAGCAAACCATTTGTCCTTATTTCAACAAAGGAAGCACAGGCCTTTTCGATTTTTTTGTCTTGGTCCCAATTCAACACTAAAGAAGTCCGAACTAATTGAATACTTGTGTCCCAAATTTCAAGAATTGGGTCGTAATAAAGGATATAATTGACAACTCGAAGTTGTAGATTATCACTTTCCTGCAAGAGATCCGGCGGGAAAAGTCTTCCTAAATTTATACCATCCGTTTTTTTATATGGGACTACAGGTTGAACCAAAACAAAATACTTTTTTTCATACCTGGAAAGTTTCATTCGTTGGATATAGAGCCAAATTTTCAATTTTTTGTATTCTTTGGAATTTGGTTTTCCCCCTCCTGGCGGTATCAATCGGAATGCCTTATTTCTCTTTCCAGGAAAATGGATATCTCCAGAAAAGATTATCAGTTTCATTTTTTCTGCTTTTTTCTTCACTCGGACCAATCCGCCTACCCGACTTCTTCTATTGAAAGTGATTTGTGTATCTGCCCCAATAATACTATTGTGTCGTACCATTATGGAAGAAGATTCGGACAAAATGTGGACTTCCACGGGAATAAAAAATATGGATTTACTTCCTTTTGGTATTTTGGCCAAAATACCTTGACTCCTCGATACTCAATCAAATTCTCTTCGTTGACGATTGAATTTAGTTCTCGAGTCTCATATTTAGTAAGTCTTGAGCTCTTTCTTATATATCGAGGATCATCGAAATAAGCAAGAATACTATTTCTACGGAGAATACCATTTCTGGGTATTTCCATTGAGATACCTGAAGAAGGTATTAGTTGGTTCTCGCCTTCTTGAATCGATTCGAGTGGGATGATGAATCTATTTCTTCGCCTCTTTGCCAATAAATCAGAATTACCGTCGAGAATGGCCGGATATCTGAGATTATAATGATCCGTACATGTCATTCGATTAAGTTCTGAATAATCAGGAATCCTATCTCCTTTTTGATTTTACCAGAAAAATACGAACTAAAAAATTTGTGTCTCACTTGATTATTAGTTACTGAGGGGTTAGCAATATATCTTGGCTTGACAGAAAGAGAATAAGCGTTCATTTGATCTTGATCCTTGTGGATCGAACAAGGGCCTAGACTGTATCTCCAGGGCTCCCCTAATAATATCCATAAATGACTTGTTTTTGGTAAGAGATGAATATTACCATATACAAATTCAGGTGCATGGTACACATCAGTATTCCAGTGCATTTCGCCTTCTGAGTCAGAATAAATATGTTTTCGAACCTTCTCTTTCAAATTCAAAGTGGAGGTTATCGCGCGAATCTCAGCAATCACTTGTTCTGATTCTACATATTGATCGTTTTGAACTAAAAGAAAACTTTTGGGCTGAATACACACATTGTGTATAATATCTTCACTCTCAATAGTTACATACAAGTCTCTAGAACATAGAAAAGCAGGATGTCCATGACGTGTACGTGTCGGATAAACCAAATCCTCGTTGAATTTTATTTTTCCATTAGAAGAGGCTCGCACATGTTCTGCAGTACCCCCTGTAAATACTCCGCCGGTATGAAAAGTTCTTAATGTTAATTGAGTGCCCGGTTCTCCAATAGATTGACCTGCAATAATACCTACGGCTTCTCCCAATTCGACCAGGTCGTCATGAGCTGGACTCCGGCCATAACATAATTGACAAATCCAAGATGTAAATTGCTAAATCCTTCGCTATTTGATCTTCTTCCGCTCGCTTACGAAGAAACTCCAAGTGCTCATGTTACACATCAACCTTTTGTTGGGCGATTAGATTATGTTGGTCGAACTTTGCTTTCATTTCCGCCAACGCTTGTGCCTTTCTATCAGTTTCGTCCGCGTGACGGTGAGCACGCTTCGCTTTATCGCATCCAATAGGTCGGCATGGGAGGGGGAGATCTCTTCGATGTCGTCAGGGATGTCATCCGTGTCGGCGTTGAGTTCGATGTAGTTCGTACGTCAAAAATGTCAATCGAACTAGAATTGCAAGACCTATTTGATTTTGCCTCTGATGATGTTGGCGCCTTAATCTATTTTGGATCTTGCCTGACATATTGGATCTTGCCTAACAATATCCCATATTTTTTCAAACTCGAAAGCTTGCCCCATTTTGACTTGATATCAATCCCGCACCGCTTTGTACACATCAAAATCATTCGCACCACTTTGTTTTTGCGATTCTCGTCTCATGAAAATCCTATTGAACTTGGTGCACCAGCGACTGATCGGAGTCCACTTGTTACTAAGCATATCAATATTGCGATATGGTTGTTTCTTCATAAGCGCGTGGAGTTTTCTGAGCACAACTTCCCAAAACCCAACTCTTCACATATCATTTCCTATGGTTGGACTCGTTGAAGTCCCGCACCACGACACCGCCAATGCGTACTCCTCCTTCGGTGTCCACCATAGTGGAGATTCTTCTTCACTTGTCGTGACTGACTTCCCTTTCCTTTTCCCATTCCCTTTCCCACTCCCTTTCCAACTGCCTTCCGCTTGTGTTTTCGGAACAGTTTCTGGTGTTGGTTCTATGGGTTGTTGTTGTGTGGTTGTTTGTTGCATGGAAGTGAAAGTGTTGAACAGGTTTTGTTGAAGATTTGGGTTTTGTTGAAGATTTGGGTTTTGTTGCTGATGGGTTTTGAGCATAACAAACAAAACCTATGTGTTCATGCAACCCTAATTCTTGATCTATGTTTTCTCTAATTGAACATACAACTTTTGAACATCAAACGGAAAACCCCAAGACTACTAGCATATATTCGAAATCACTAACTAGGGTTAAGAAAAACACACCTTAATTGTTATATAGCAATAAAAATACAAATCCTTAGTGTTGTTGAAGCTTCGAGAGAAAGCACCACAAGTGTCCTGCCTCTAGTAGATCACACCCAACACTAGCAAGAGGATGAGAGAGGAGAGAGGAGAAGAAGCTTAAGAATTTCGGCTATTCTTCTAGGGTTTTAAGTGGCCGAAAATCATAAGGGTTAGAGGCCTATTTATAGTGCAGATAGGATACCATGGATAACTTTAATCTAAATATAATATTAATATTTCAAATTGTTCATTATCCAGCTCCTTATTTATCCACATGGGATAATCTAGAAACCCTATATTATCCATATGAAGACCGTCCACCTCCTTCCCTAGGAAGGTTCTGGAACCTCTTACTCAACTAATGAACAATTGCACTTTAGACCCCGTACTTTTAATTAATTCTTTTAATCCCGAAATTAATTCCAATTAATTTCTGATTAAATATTAATTAAATATTGTTATTTCTAATTAATATATTATTCTCATAATATATTAACAAATTATTTATTTCAATTTATTAATCAAACAATAAATTCAACATCTCTCTCCAAAAGTCGTCATGTCTAGTTGCTAGTTATGAGGGCAACCCAAAAGGGTTGTGCTACTATCAATTCAATTATATACCAATAATAGTTATGAGCTTAGACACCCAATCCAACAATTGCAAATCAGAACAAATGTGGAAACCACATCCTCACTTCTTCTTAGCCCTTGCAAATCAGAACAAATGTGAAAACCACATCCGGTATCAAGGACCCAAGAATGAGAATCTGATGAGTTTTTAGATAAGATTGTGTAAATACCTACTGAGGTTGGCTTCACTTTTCCATCCTTTATATCTTGCAAGTACTTCAGCCAGCTTCATTTCCAAAACCATTTCTCATGGTAGTAGAAGCAAGTAGCCTCTTTGGGATCGGAGGCAGTGGGAGCGTAAAAAATGGGCTTTCCTTTGGGCCCATTGCTTGATGATCAAGCTTGGGACTTTCCCTTCCAATTCTGCTTTGGAGGACCTTTCCTCTTCTTCCCTTTTCCTTGCCCAATGCCCAAGACTAGAGCAACAACAGGAGTGAAGGCAACACCTTTTCCCTTCATTCCTGCTGTAGCAGCTTACAAGAGGTTCTGAAGTTGAGCCAATGTGGTCTCTTGGTTGTTTAGATGATAGGTCAAGATAAACTGATCATAACAAATGGGAAATGAGTGTAAGACTATATCAACAGGCAATTCCTCAACAAAGTTCGCATTGAGCTTTAGCAAGCGTTCCACGTATCATTGCATTCTTTGCACGTGGCTACTGACGGACTCTCCATCTTTCATCTTGCTAGTGATAAGGGACTTTACTACCTCGTATTTTTCTTGACGAGCTCATTGATGGTACTTTTCCATCAAGTTCTTGTTCATCTCATACGGCCAGTAATCCTCGTAGAACCTTTGTAGCTCAGGAGTCATAGTCGCCACCATGATGAAAGCAACTTTTGTTGCATCATTATAGTGTTTCCTATACTCAGCTACTTCTACAGAAGTAGCTTTGGTTTCATCAATCTCGAGAAGTTCTTTTTCGAGCACATACTCCTTGTCCTCGAAACATAGAGCCATTTTGATGTTTTGCATCCGATCGTTATAATTAGTGCCATCAAAAGTTACCCTCGAGCAGATTTTCAATAGTGAGAAGTTGTTGTTGGAGGAGGAACCGGAAGCATCATTTGGAGTAGACATCTGAAAGAGAAGAAAGATAGTTTTGGTTAGAAAAGAATAGTCCTCAATATAACACCCAAATGAAATATTAAGGCTAGGATCCAACTAGATAATTCACAACTTATAAAAGGGATGTCATAATCTAATTGTAAAATAAATAAAGGTAGGTAAATGACGACTTACCAATTTCACCAGGAAAAACGACATTTGAACGAATTAGGTTTTCAATGAAATTCCTAGATCTTTTGAGATTCATTGAACTATTCAATGGCATGTTTAATCTCGATTATGCTCTTTCATTTGTGACTGGGATACCGATGATCACAAACAATATGTGAATAACCATGCAAATTAGCTTGGTACTCTCGATGTCATTTATCATCTCATTTTAATGTGTCGGTTAGCCACACACGCTCCATTAATCAATGATAATTTATGAGACACCCATTGCCACCCTTTATTAGTCCCTATTAGTGTTCCGGTTAACCACACATTCTCCACTAACGAATTATAAAGTGCAATGTGCAATTTCATGGGTTAACATACAAATTCACATTTTTCCTAAAGTAACTACGATTGAGAATTTTGTAAAAACGATTTTAGTTACTTTATAATTCATTATACTTATTAATGAGGATTATATGTCCTATCAAACCCGTTCGGCTAATGACCCTACACCAATCAAGGAAGCAGTGGGTGAGAGTGGACACCCATTCAACTACCATTTTATAGGCAGTTTCCGTATACTCCCTTTATAGATCGGCTTCGTGAATGAGGCGTAGTAGCGGTTCGACTGACTTAGTCCTATACATATAGTAAATAGTAAACATTTAATTTTACATATAGTATAAGGTGTATTTTAAACATTTCAAAATACTAGGTTTAATTACTAAATTTCGAAAATTAAGACATTTGATTTAAATTTAAAATTAAACCATATGATTTAATAATTATCTATTAATTAAACATTTAATTAATTTATTAAATCAATTTGAGGATTATCTAATTAAATTAGTCAAGATAATTTAATCTTAATCTTCTCCCCTAATTTTCGAAAATCATGGTAGGAATAAAGCAAATTTTATAATTATCCAATTAATCAAATAAACAGAGAATTATAAAAAATAAGAAAATCCCTATCAAAACCCTAATTTTCGAAAAATGTGTATCTTGGGGAGGAAGGTAATGATTTCAATCCTTGCCATTTTCAAAACCTTAAGGGTTAAGGAAACCCTAATTTCAAAAATTATAGGGCAAGGGAAAGGGTTAAAACCCTTTCCTAATTTACGAAACTGAGGGCTCAAGAAACCCTAGAATCGAAAATCCCTAAGTCCAAAAGGGTTTAGTTGTCATAAACCCTAATTGATCAAATTCAAACAATTACAATCCATTCAATAGAAAACAAGACAA